CCCCTGAAAAGAAAAGGAGCCATATTTGGACAAGAGAGGATCGTGTCCCCGAGAAGCTCTGAACTGTCCAAATGTCAAAGGGCATCCTAGAGAACAGAGAGCATGTCCTCTTTGGGAAGGCAGCAAGCAGCATAGACCTCAGTGGTCTCAACCTCCTCCATGTACCTGAGCTGTTTGATGAAGGTGTCCCCAGGCTTGGCTGCAGCTGTCCCCAGAGAACGGCTCTCAAGATAAATAAATAAAGTCTTCTCTGATGCTACACGCCGGTGTCCGGGCTCCAAGGCCTATTTTTAGAATGTAGGGCAATTTTCTCCCAGAATAGACAAGACAGCTAATCCAGGAGGGAGGCTTGAGAGAGATGAAGACGTCGAGTCTAGATATGAATTAGTTGTGAGTATATTATTTGAAGAAATGTTGAACAGCTAAGCAAATATTTGATACCTTTGAATTGGAGCTGGCGTTTTCACAGGCTGAGCACTGTGCACTGCCGCTACTGAGAACTCCCCCTTCCTCCAGGAGGTACCTGGCTGTCACACCCGGCTCTGTAATCCTCCCGCTGCTGCATGCTGAGAAGCCATGGAACCTGAGTGCCTGCTGGAACTGAGTGCAGTCAACATGCCTAGCATGTCTCTGGGACAGTGGATGCTAACCAATCTCTCTCTCTCTCTCTCTCTCTCTCTCTCTCTCTCTCTCTCTCTCTCTCGATGCTCCAATATCAGCCTCTTGGATACTGGGACCACAGGTTTGTGCCACCCTACTTGATAATATCTTTTTCTGAGAGTTGTTTACCGCCCTTCAATTTACCATCATCTTTTTACATATTTTTGGTTGTATTTATTCATTGTTTGCGTGTGTGCCACAGAGCATGCGTGGAGGTCAGGAAAGGAAGTCCCTCCTCTCCTTCCATCATGGATCCTGGGTATCAAACTCAGACCGTCAGACTTGGTGAAGCTGATGGCAAACCCTGATGCCACCCGAGTCCTCCTGCCATGTGTTATTAGATAGGGCGAGGCAGCTGCCCCTATGGGCCCAGGCTGAAAAGGGTCAGAGACAATGATCTGTTCCATATTTAGACCTTTTAGTCTATGACCCTGGCGAGAGGGCTTGGAGACAGAGAACAAGCCTTATCTACCAGGCAGGAGGCAGAGCCTTCAGGTTAGGACACAGCTGTGAGAGCTTGCAGACTGGGTCAGAGTCAGTTTACAGTTGGAAGAGAGACCGAGGGGACACAGGGCAGCTGGTAGATCTGCCCTCAGAGCGGTAGAATCATGCTCTTCCTTACCCAACCTGGGGGTGGAAGCCAGCATTGGTGCCCCCAGTTTACAGATGGAGAAAGGGAAAATCCATGGCATGGCCAGTGTACACACTCATCTGTGTGTGTGGAGTGTGTGTCTGCCTTGCACGTGTCTGCCATCTGCAGTCTATCTCAGTGTTTTATGTCAACTTGACACAAGCTACAGTTAACTAAAAGGGAAGACCCTCAATTGAGACAAAGTCTCTACAACTTCCTGCTGTAGGACATTTTCTTAATTAGCGATTGATAAGGGAGAACCCAGCCCACTGTGGGTGGTGCCATCCTTGGGCTGTTGGCCATGGGTTCTATAAGAAAGCAGGTTGAGCGAGCAAGCCATGGCGAACAAGCCAGTAAGCAGCGCCCCTCCCCCACCATGACCTCTGCATCAGCTTCTGCTTTCAGGTTTCTGCCCTGCTTGAGTTCCAGTACTGAATTCCTTCAGTGATGGACTGCGATGTGGGTGTAAGCCAAATAAACCCTTTCCTCCTCAATTTGCTGTTGGTCGTGGTTTTCCATCATGGCACTGGTAACCCTAAGACATCCAGTAAATGTTCGCGTGCTCTAACCTGGGGCTTGACTTGAACCCACCCAGCTAATCATTACAAAGGCTCCAAAGGCATGCAGTTCTTATCAACTCCAACATACAGAAGAATAAAAGGGGTTCACGGAGGTAAAGGTCCTGCCTGGCTCGTGCTGTTACTCAGCTGGAGCGTACCAAGCTTGCCCCCCATCTCTGTGCACCGACCATTGTACACACGGCCTTCTTGGAGATGCTCGCTTTCTCAATCTACCAGAAGAATCTCGATCAGGACGAGAGGTGGCAGCGTGGACGCTGCTAACTATGTGGTGTGGTTGGAGAGACTCTGGGTGTAGAAATGTGCAGGGCCTGCAAGCCCTGCAAGCCCTGATGCCGCATCTGCAATAGCGTAGCCACCAGATGGCAGCAGACGCCTTGCGATCCGGTGACAGCGAGGACGCGCTGCCCGGGCCCGACCTGCGGAGCCCACCCGCGGCGCACCCCCCGGGAGCTGGGCTGCCAAGGCCAGCGGCTCTGCTGCCCCGGGAGACCTCCTCGCCGACTCACCCCGCCCGCCCATCGCGAGCCGCCGCCTGCTGTTCGCGGCGCGCACGCGCTGATTGGCTTGGGCTGCAGTTAGGGAGCCCGACGAGCAATCAGCCCCTGCAGGGACCCAGCATGGGCGAACCCCGGGCTGCAAAAGAGGCTGGATTGTCCTACCCAGGCGGGTTAGAATGTTCCCTCCCGCCTGCCCGCCTTACTCACATCTCCCGGCAGGCGTCACCCGGATCGACTTCCGACGGTGGCACTTGACGGACCAGAGCCTGAGGTCTGCCGGTTCCAATGCACAATTGGGCCCCGACAAGTAATTGGGCCCCGACAAGCGCCATTAGACACAGCCTAGCCTAGATCTGAAGCCCTATCTCGAAACAAAGAGTGAAAGAAAAAAAAACCCTCAATCTCAACCTAGATCTGGCCCGCACCGCCGTGAATGATGAGCAGGATCGGATGCGTGTAGGTCCCAGGATGCTTCTAGACTCAATATGTGTACTGGGCGAGGGGTGGGGGAAGTGAGGAGCTGCAGAAAGGGTAGACCAGGCTCACTCGGAGCCCCGGGAGATCAAACCATTGGTCCCCCTGAGCCAAACACAATCAGTGCCGAGCCAGAATCCTCTGCCCAGAAGACCTGACTGAAAGTCATGCGTGCCCGGGACTCCATTCCACAAAGAGAAACTGAAGCAAGGTGGAACTTGAAAGCAGGCAGGAATGGGCAAGTCAGAGAAAGGGACACAGGAGGGGGGGCGGGGGAGTGAACTTGGACCTCTTAGTCAGTGATATTAGAGACATGTCACAGCTATATTCTTTGAGGGGCTAAAAATAAAGAGCCTCACCCCAAGCATGGCAAGCCTCACACTAGCAGGGCGGCGGTGGCGCACGCCTTATAATCCCAACACTCAGGAGGCAGAGGCAGGTGGATCTCTGTGAGTTCGAAGCCAGCCTGATCTACAGAGCGAGTTCCAGGACAGCCAAGATTGTTCTTCTGGCTATGCCATAAAAAGTCCACCTAGACAAGAGTGCATATGTGCCCAACTTTCATGGCCTCATGCAAGAGCGAGGCTGGACTAGGGACTTGTCAGGCCTGTACTAATCGCTGCTCTGCTGCCCACATGGTTTGGGTCCACCTAGACGACCACTTTGGGTCATAAGTCTGGCTGTATTTGGGGAACCTACTGTACAAATTTTTCAGTATTCTGTGTGCATATTACAAATCTTCTGCGACCCTTAGAAAAGGAAGGGATAATTGAAATAAAACAAAACACCAGCCCTAGATGTATGTGGACTCATCTGTGGATTCAGCTGATGGAAAAATTCTCTCCCAAACTGCCTCTGCATTGAGCGCATACAGGCTTTCTTACTCTTGTTCCCTAAGCAAGGCATTGAGCAGCAATTTACATTGTACTAGGCATCAGGAGTCACCTAGAGGATCTTAAAGAACATGGGAGTGTGCACAAAGGTTACACACAAACACCAAACCGTCATGTGCAAGGCTTGCGGGGGTTATAGAAGGAAGTTTGGCATCTCAGGGTAGTCGGGGAACTAACTCATCACAAATGCCAAGGGGATAGTACATAACGCAAAGAAATAAGAAAGTAAAACTTTCCTTCTTTATTTTCTCTTTGGGTACTGGTTATTAACCCAGGGTTTGGGCAGGCTCTGTCTGCCGCTGAGCCACCTCCCTAGCCTCTTACTGGGGGATTCTAGGCAAGAACCTTCTCCTGAGCCACGCCCCTAGGACAAGAAAGTAGAATTCAGGGAGACATTGTTGGGACCATGCTGACTCTGCTGCTGTTCTTTCCGCTATGGATCCCCTCCACCCTCTGGGTCTCCCTGGATCTCTGCTAGGCAGAAATTTTTATGGTCATTGACAGAGCTGCTGTGGCTGGAAGGAAGCATGGGAAGAGGAGTACAGCTTGCAGACTTACCACATCTTTAGAATCTTACACGTTAGTTAGCATTTTGTCTAAGGACAACACAACCTTTACTATCTCTTCTAGTTTGTGTGTGTGTGTGTGTGTGTGTGTGCACGCACGCGTGTGCACCTGCAAAGTCCAAGAGAACAGATTCCCTAGAGCTGGAGTTATAGACAATTGTGAGCTGCTGTGTGAATGCGGAGAAGCAAACCTGTGTCCTCTGCAAGAACAGCAAAGCTCAAAACCACAGAGAAACCCTGTCTCGAAAAACAAAACAAAACAAAACAAAAAAAAAGAACAGCAAAGCTCCTAATGGCTGAGACATCCCCAGTCCCCCAGTCTATTTCCCTGGATGGATATTCGTTTTCTATCCCCACGGAGGCAAAGCGGCATGGATTCAGCGCTTAGAATGATGTCTACCTGCCTCACGGTTCTGTAGTCAGAATTCTGGATGTGGTGTGGATGAACTGGTTTTCTTACTTAGTATTTTAAAAGGCTGAATGAAGTCAAGGTCTTGACTCCTGTCTGAAAGTGCTGGGGAAGATGGTGGGGGAAGGGAACCGAATTTTCCAAAATCATTCATATTTCCATAGGACTGAAGTTCCGTCCTTGCTGGCTGTGAGGTCCACATTCTCTTTGCTTGTCAGTGGAGCCATAGAGAATTATGTTTGCATGCAAGTGCTAAATTTTTTTTCTTACTTAGTTTTTATTCATAATCATAAACTTAACTCTGCAATCCAGCTAGACTTGAAGAGGAATGAGGAAAATATGGAACCCAAAGAACTTCAGTGAGAGCAGAGATTACAGGGTACTGCGAGCAGATGGGGCTGGGGTGCTCTCCTGAGCTACAGAAGGAATGGCCTGGTGGGTAAGAAGCCTGCAAGTCAAAAGAATTAGAGTTGTCCACAGTCAGAAATGGTGATCTTCTTGCTGGTCTTGCCATTCCTGGACCCAAAACGCTCCATGGCTTCCACAATGTTCATGCCTTCTTTCACCTTCCCAAAGACCACATGTTTGCCATCCAGCCACTCAGTCTTGGTGGTGCAGATAAAAAACTGGGAACCGTTTGTGTTTGGTCCAGCCTTCGCCATGGACAAGATGCCAGGACCTGGATGCTTCAGGATGAAGTTCTGATCCTCAAATTTTTCTCCATAGGTGGATCTGCCGCCAGTGCCATTACGGCGTGTGAAGTCACCACCCTGGCACATGAATCCTGGAATAATCCTGTGAAAGGAAGAACCCTTATATCCAAATCCTTTCCCTCCAGTGCTCAGAGCACCAAAGTTTTCTGCTGTCTTTGGAACTTTGTCTGCAAACAGCTCGAAGGAGACGCGGCCCAAGGGCTCGCCATCGCCCTCGGCCGCGATGTCGAAGAACACGGTGGGGTTGACCATGGCTGCAGCAAGCGGTGAGAGGGGACAGCGGCGTCTGCAAAGCGACCCTAAAATTTTTTTAATGCTTTTAAATTTAAAGATGATTTGATAAGATTTGAATGGCTTTTCTTGATTCCCACAATGGATGCTAAAGGATGGAGATGGGGAGGGGAGGTAATCCCTACACAGTGGCTGCAAAATCCAGAACTTAATAACGAATAATATTAGGGGTGAGAGCAATGGAGGTTAAACACCCTGGCTGCTCCTCCAGAGGAGCAAGGTTCAATCTCAGCACCCGAACGGCCCTTAACAACCGTTCCAGGGGATCTGATGTTCTCTCCTGGCCTCCACCAGCACCAGACACATACATGGCAGACAGATGTACTTAAAATAAAAAATAATAAATGCATCTTAAAATTAAAGAATAATATTAACTGCAAAGGCTCTGCATTTGAGAGGAGACCGCTTTCAGACTTTATTCCAAGACGAGTGAAGGAGTGGCTTACAGATACACCATGTCTGCGGGTGGCGGGCCATCTGTCACCATGCTGCTTTTTCTCTGGTTGTGGGTCAGCTCTGATATAGTTGTCGATCCTTCTACAACGATCCCTTTCATTCCTGACTGCAAAGTTTGCTGCCATACATGTGTGGGCATATATATGTGCTATTGCACGTGCATGCATACACTGTGCTACAGCAGGTTTCTCGAGGTCAGGAAACAGTTTTGCAGAGTGGGTTCTCTCTCTCCACCTGTACGTGAGTTCCAGGATCCAGCTCAGTTCAGGCCTGAGGTGAGGGCTCTTACCCACTGAGCTATCTCACAGACCCAATTTAAAAAACAAAACAGCCGGGCGGTGGTGGCGCACGCCTTTAATCCCAGCATTCGGGAGGCTGAGGCAGGCGGATCTCTGTGAGTTCTAGGCCAGCCTGATCTACAAGAGCTGGTTCCGGGACGGGCACCAAATCTACAAAGAAACGCTGTCTCGAAAAACAAAACAAACAAACAAACAAACAAAAAAACCATGAGCATTATTTGTATTCATTTGTCTTTATATTGTTTCCAGTTTTCCTAATTCTTTGAAAAGTTTTGTATTTATTAATGATCTCTTTCTGCTGCTTTGTGTGTAGCTCCTTCTACTCTTCTTTCTGTGGTCTCCTAAAATGACTTAAAGTGGGGTTGGTTTTTGTGGTCCATGCCTGTGATACCTGAACTCAGAAGGCTGAGGCAGACAGAACAAGAGTTAGAAACCAGGGATGGAGAGATGGTTCAGAGGCTAAGAGCACTGGCTGTTCGCCTAAGGGACCTGGATTTGGTTGCTAGCACCCACATGGTAGCTCACAACCATCTGTTACCCTAATTCCAGGAAATCTGATGCCCTCTTCTGGCCTCCACTAGTATTACACACATATGGTGCACAGACAAACATGCAGGCAAAACAATATATATATATATATATATACAAGTAAAATTACACACAAATAAAAATATGAGAAAAAGAGAGATGCCTGGGGCTGGAAAGATGGGTCACCAATTAAGAGCACTAATTGATCTTGCAGAGGACTGGTTTCAATTCTCAGTTTCTACAAGGTGGCTCACAAGTGTCTATAATTCCAGTACCAAGGGATCCAACACCTTCTCCTGGCATCCACAGTTACCAGGTACATATTTAGTGTACAGACATACATATAGGCAAAACACTCATACACATACAGATAAAATAAAATCAAAAAAGGAAAGAAAAAATTACAAGCCAATCTGGGCTACATAGTAAGATCTTCTAAAAAAGCAAAAACAAAAACAAAACAAAACAAAAAATCTAAGGGGGGGAAACAAAAACAATTTTTCTATTTGCATTTTTCACTGTAAATGGTCCTCTGCTTGAAATTTTGCCTGCATCCTTAGGTTTTTGTTTGTTTGTTTTTTGTAAATGTTGTCATTGATTCTTGTTGTGACCCAGATATTAAGGAAGCTGCTCAGTTTTTAATGATCGTGAGTTTTTCTTCATGCTTGGGGAGGGGTCATCTTTTATAAATTTTAATTTATTCTTCTCTCATACAATATATCCCGACCACAGCTCTCTCTCCATTCCTCTACTTTCTCTCTCACCCACCCCTCT